TTTTCTATGTGCAAAGTTTTTTCAGTTCAATACAAAGCCCAACATGTAATTAAGTCCATTTCCTATTGTGCTAACATTCTTTATACATATAACCAGCTGCAGAAAGAACTTGCGTAGACTTGCGTGATCAGTGTTTCCTTTCCAGTAGGTTCATGTGTGACACATTACTGCAGTGTTACAGTACCCTGGTTGATGTCCCAAATTCTGGAAATCAAGGTGCATCCTGATTGATGGTAGATAACAGGTCAGGAAAAGTAATATGGGTAATTATATATGCTAAACTACAGAAGTGATTACATGTCTTGGATGCCCTACATCCATGTGTAATATGGGGAGATTACCATAGTTTGCAGTATTAAGATGACTATTTGTCAGGATTTTATCAGTACATTATCCTTGATATCTTCTTGAAAGTACTTGCTTTTAAAGCCAAAGCCCAATTTAATTCTCATGCAAAACATTAAAAAAAAAATCCTTTGGGTCTCTATACTCATTTTGTAGGCATGTTGCATAAAAGATTAAACAAATGGACCAGAGGTGGCATAGAGAGCTTTAGATACTGGAAATAGTTTATTAACTGAAGGAAATTTATTCCAAAAAACGGTGAACATATAGACTTCCTCAAAATTATTCTAACTTCCATATGGAAACAGAACAGGTAAAAACGTAAACAGAACTATAGCACATATAACTGACAGCTATCATCCAAACTCACAACTAGGGATCTGGGTTTTCCATTTCCTGCGGAAAACCGTGTTTTTTTTCCCTTCAAAGGAGAAAAAACTGGATTTTCCCCATTGAAGCAGGAAATCGTGGAAGGAACAGACGGGTGGGGAGGCTGAAGCAAGACCCAGAAGAGGGGGGCGAAGAAGTGAGGGGCTCCCATGGAACAGAGAGGAGGGAAAGGAGCAGGACTGGCGGGGAACCATGCGGAAACGGGAAGGGCAGGAGGGGGCACAGGCAGGGCGGTGGAGCTGCCTGCTCTCAGATAGCAACTCCGGCAGCACAGAACTGAGCTGGTCACAGTTTCCACTGTGGGTGGCAGCAGCTCCGACCCGACCACCTCACAAGCTTGCCCCAGCTCCTGGTGGGTCGTGGGAGCCACCTCGGCAGGTGGCGAGGTAATGAGGCAACTGGCGCCCTGAGGGGCGGCTGCTGCTGCTGCCACCACCACCTTGGGAGGTTTCCCTCCTGCCCACCCCTGTGGAGCGCAGGGCTACTCAGATTCCCAAGGCTGCCTATCGAGGTCCTCCCCCTGCAGACAAGGTGCAGGATGCGTGAGGCTTCTGGGCACTCAAACCAAACCCAAGTCACTGCTTGCAAGGTACCGGACGTCTTGTGCAGCAGGGGTGGGAGTGGGAATTCCTCCCCTGCTCTCGGCACTCCAGGGTGAGGCGTTGTCTCTCTCAACACCTCCAATGTGTCAGTTGTGCTCCCCCAGTCACCAGTATGGGGAGGGCAAACTGACCTAGGAACAGGGGTATTGTTCTAAGGGGAGTCCTTGGCACCAATTGAAATCTTTGTCCAACTTACTGAGGCAATCCAGCAGCATTGGCTGGGATGATCTAGTTGGGGATGGTCCTGTTTTGATCAGGGGGTTGGGACTAGGTGACCTCCTGAGGTCCCTTCCAGGCCTCGTTGTCTATGATTCTGGTTCTAAGATACTGTGGGACCGCCTGGGACAGGCCAGGGCACTTCTGAACACAGGAGCACCCCCAAGTTTCTGCTGAAGGCAGTGTCCGAGCCGCTCGGGGATCTGACTGTAGCCCAGGCCCAGCAGAAATGCTTTCAGTCAGGCTTTGCTGCCCAGAATTCCCAGAGGGGTCCTCCCCCCCGCTCCTCAGCACAGGTTTAATAGCAGAAACAGCACCCGGGACAAGTCACAGGCTAGCAAATGGTTTGTTTTTTTCAGCCAAGGCAGATTGCAGGTGTTATGCTACCAGTGTGTGAAGTTTGCTTGCAGGTTTAAAGAGTGCACTTGACAGAAGAAACGAACATCTGCTCTGGGAGGCATTATCTTTGCTTTTTTGAAAGATGGCCTTTTTTTTAGCTGGGGTCTGGGGGCAGCTGCTCCCCCTCCTCCCCCCCGCAAGGCAAGGGGCTGTGGGGTGGGAATGAGGGGGTACCAAGCTATGGTTTGGGAGTGAGGGGCAACCATATGGGCAAAGGCAGGGCATTAGCATATTAAGGCTGCTCAGCACCACAAAGCAGTGGGGAGAGGGACGAAGGGCAGCCAAAGCTGGACCTGTGTCCTGCTAAGTGAAGGGGGTAGAGGGAGCTCTGATTTTCCATGATAAAAAAACCAAAATCAAACACCAAAATATAGAGGTATTTAGAATGTATTTTATTATAATGATTGAGGTGCTAGTAGGCTCCCAAACTGCTATAAAATTGTAAATATATCAATAAAACAATTGTGCTCAACCGATACCTATATATATCTATATATAGAAATCTATATCTATAGAGAGAAGTTTCATTTTAATCATGGAAAAAGTGGATTTTGGGGGTTTTAATCAGAGAATTTTGGAATATTAAAAGAGAATTTTGGATTTTTTAACAGAGAAAACCAGGAACCCTGCTCATAACACATGCTTTAGGCTATGCCATTCTGATTCTCAGACACATACTCTATCAGTGGAAGCAACATTCAGAGACCACAATTTAACTCCAGGGTGACATAAGCTTATTAAAGGATTACATGATGTCATTGCCTGCAACTGGCATCAGCAGCAGTCCCTCGATATGAGAATGACAGTCTTCTAGTAAATACGGAAACCAGCAGTGAGTCTGTAGAGGTGACCAATCTGAAATCTGCATATGCAACTGTAGATGTGGCAAACAGTTTCAGGAGGAAGAAGCAGATCCTGGACCTCAGCTCTTTTTCTTTGTCTGTCTCACCTATCTGTATCCACAGTGAGACAAGTTTACTTGAAATGATCAATGCTGTGTTGTACATCACAGTGCTACAGGGGACGATTCAGAGCTCAAGTCTCCCAGGTACCGATGTTAATATTGAATTTCTTAATATTGACCTTCATTGTGTCCTCAAATCTCTTTTTTGGCCACTTTTAGAGCAGTGAGTTGGGAGTATAGGCCCTGTTTTGGAAGCTAGTCGTCAGGCATCCTTATGACGTGCCCTGTCGAATAAAGTTGGTTTCCTGTAAATGTGGTTTCAATGCCGATGGTGTTTGCTGGAGCCAGAAAAGCTGGCATTCATTCTTCTGTCATTCAGATTGATAAGGAGGGTTTTTCTGAAGACAATGCTAGTCATAGCATTGCAAAGCTTTCAGGAGTTTCCAATATGTCATCCAAGTTTTGCACCCATACAACAGGGTAGGGATGACAGCAGCCTGGTAGATAAGGACTTTAGTTTGGGTCCTGATGTCATGATCATTGAAGATACGGATTTTGGGACATCTAAAGGCCGTACTTGCAGATTTTATCTGGTGTTGAATATCATTGTCTATGTTTACTTTTTGGGAAAGGCGACTACCTAGGTAGGGGAAATGCTCAACATTCTCCAAGAATTGTCCCCTAATTACAGTATGCGGAAGAGCAGCTGGTTGCTTTGGGATGGATTAGTAAAGGATCTTGGTTTTCATGAAGCTGACAAGTGAATCTAGGCATTTTACACATCCCTTAATTAACAATATTTGCCAAGTAACAACGTTACCATTATAATTCCAGGTTAGGGGGAGAGGGGAATATAGGGCCATATAGTGTTAAATGGGGAGGCTGCACTATAGCCACAACAGGCAAAAGGAATCAGGTCTATGCTGGTGTGCTCAACCTCCAAATGTGGCCCATAGAGTCATCACATCTGGCCTGTGGGACTCTCCATGGGGGTGGAAATCTGGCAGCTGGTGAGTGGCTGCCGAACCCCAAGTCCCACATTGTCAGTCCCAGCCACATCTGGATGGAGGCCAGGCCATGCCTCCTTCCCCCCATGGGGCCAGTTTAGAGACACCCCTGCCCTGCCTATGCCCCCTTCCCCTCTGCAAGGCCAGGTTGTGGCTGAGCTGCCCCCACCTCCCTCCACGTGGTCAGATGGTGCCCACTGTACCCTCCCTGCGGCCAGATTTGGACCACTGGCAGGATCCAGCCCACAGGTGGATGGGACACTGCCCATCTTGCCTGCCAGGGAAAAAGGTTAAGCACCACTGGTCTATGATATATGAAACCCAGAGCCTGTAAATATGTACATCAAGGTATTAATCTAAAGCCCAGTCTTAAGTGGGGTTTGGAGCAGGCTGCAGCTGACTATTCCACCATTCATGTAAGCTTTCAAATACTTAAGATCAAAAAACAAAATGACATGCACAACATTTTTGAATCATTGAAAATTAAGGTTGGAAGGGCCCTCAGGAGGTCATCTAGTCCAACCCCCTGCTCAAAGCAGGACTATCCTCAATCAGATCATTCCAGCCAGCGTGTTAAGCCAGGCCTTAAAAACCTCCGATGATGGAGATTTCACCACCTCTCTAGGTAACCCATTCCAGTGCTTCACTACTCTCCTAATGAGAAAGTTTTTCCTATAACTTCCCTTGCTGCAACTTGATACCATTGTTCCTTGTTTTGTCATCTGCCACCACTGAAAACAGTCTAGCTCCATCCTCTTTTGAACCACCCTTCAGACAGCTAAAGGCTGCTATCAAATCTGTCTTCTCTTCTTCAGACTCAGCAAGCCCAGTTCCACTAGCCTCTCCTTCAAAGTCACGTACCTCAACCTCATCATTTTCACTGCCCTCCGCGAGACTATCCATGCCACATCCATATTCACATCTTTTCTGCCACATCCTTTCTGGAGCGGGGGGCCCAAAACTGGAAACAAGTGGACTCCACGTGTGGCCTCACCAGTGCTGAATAGAGGGAAATAATTATTTCCCTTGATCCACTGGCATCACTCCTGCTAATGCAATAACAGTCATGATACTAAGGAAGGTGTGGTTATGTGCCTTCCAGAAGCTGGGGCTCTTTGGGACGTGGTTAGATGTGGTATCAGACTGTGAATTCCACATTAGAGAGCTCTGATTTTTCTTTAATAGCAATGATCACCAGGACCATACCTGTATCCTATGCCATCTCGTGCTCTTACATGAGGGTGGGGAGGGGAGGCACATAAATACAGGGTGGCTGTCACCTTATTTCATTTTCCCTGGAACTCAAGACCTGCGTTGGTGAAAATGCTGTACAGCAGGTAGAAAGGATGCAATCCCACAGCAAAACATCTTAAAGAACCACACAGTGAACAAACCTTCTTTCTTAGGGCATGTATCAGTATAGATCCATCTGTGACTGATAAGCAGAAACCTTCTTAGGACAGTGGGAGCAGAGAGTTTCAACTTTGCTGAACTTTACATCTGACTTCGTTATTATGACAAGCCCATTAAGTTTAAACAAACAGAAACAGACTGAAAAATGCTTGAACACCTATAATAGTCTGACTATGAAAGCTTAATCAGCAGTAAGGAGATAACAGAATGATCACTGTCTTGTTCTATCTAATCTTTGAACATCTTTGAGCAAGATGGATTGCTTAGAAAGAACAGATGTCTCTAAGTCAACTCAAGGAGGAAGCCATCCAAGCTGGAAGCCCAGGCTTATACTTCCTATATAAAAAAGGGTCTGGCATTTAGCCTGGTCATCCATGGTGAACAAGTGTATGTACAATGGGGGTGCCCTGTTGACAAAATGCGAGCCCAGAATGGATTACTCTAGTGATCACTTGGGATTGGCAACCATGGTTTTACTGTGGAAACCTACTAGCTCAATACTGACCCACGGACAGTGAAAAGCCAGTGAGGTCCCAATGTTAACATGTTCAATGTTATTATTGAAGAGACCATCCCTTTTGTCACATTAATTTGGGCTGATCACTATGTGGGCTCTTCATAGTATTTGAGGCCGGACTATGATCCATTTGTTTGTAAAGAAATCTGGGACGGTGAGTAAGAGGACTTCAACAAGAATTATAAAGATCACAGAAGACATCTGGCAAACGTTATGTTCATGATAATGTGTCACATATATAGGCACTTATTGCATCTACCATTTAGGAAAATGAATCCATCAGAAGATGGACAAGGTTCTGTGTTTCAGCCATGGGCATTAAGGGGGAACTGAGGAAGGCTTCACTGTCTATTGCCAGCAGCTAGCATTGTACAGCCAACAAGCTGTATTTGTCTGTAGCGGCATTCAAGGAAGGGCGATTGGGGTGGGGAATTGGTAACAGGCAGCAGCAGCGGGAACTTGCTAGCATCTGGGTCACATGTAGTGCTTCCCCCTTAGGGTCCACCATTGGTAAAAGGTTGCTAAGCCCTGGTCTATGCCATCATAGACCAATCTGACACTGGTAGTTAAGAAAAATCCATTTGCACCTACACTAGGATCTACAGAAAAAATCGTTGAACAACAACAGAAAAATCTAATCCGTCACCAGATCCAAACAAGCAAATTAAAGCAACAAAGACCCCTGGAATTAATTTCTTCATCACAATGTCTTAAAAGAAAATTTAAGATTTATCATCATATAAAAACATACTAAATATACAATGTCTGACCTACCAGATTATCAAGCATTCGCATAAGGGCTTCAAATTCCTGCTCTCCAATCTGCCATTTTGGATGGGATATAGTACCCTCAGCTGCTGGAGACTCAGGAGAACGAGACTTGGCTTTGTACTTCCCAGGGTCTAACAGCACTAAGTTGTCAGGCCCCCCTGCACTGGCCAGGGTACGTACCTTAAGAACAATAAAGGCACATTTCAGTTTCTTTAACATGACCAACGGGATAACCGTTGAAAGAGCATGAAGTCCTATATTCCATTTTTCAAATTCTAATCTTACTTTAAGAAGTAAACAAATCAGTATAAGTTACAATAATGAAAACATTTTAAATATGAAACTTTAAAATATTCTAGTTTTTAATGGAAAATTGACTTGACTTGAAATGAATGCATATAAGTTAAACAGTTCTAGCTTACTAGTTCAATGATACTGCTAAACTAACATTTTAGATCATTTTGTATACAATATACATAGCAGACTAATTTTTTAAAATACTAAGATTCTTACTTGAATCTCACAGGCAACTACTAGATTATGAATATAGTAGAAAGCCTCTTCAATAGTCTCTCCAACTGATACCAGGCCATGGTTTCTGAGAATAAGAACCTAAAACAAGCACAGATTACAAATAATATACTGAGAGGAGCCCATTTGTAAAAACTTAAAACATCCAATCTCTTCTCTGTACTCCCAATCAAAAAACAACCACTTATAGTTTCATAGTTGGTAGGGTTGGAAGGGACCTAAGCAGATCATCAAGTCCGACTCCCTGCCATAGGCAGGAAAGGATGTTGGAGTCAAACGACCCTGGCTAGGTGATTGTCTAGCCTCCTCTTAAAGACCCCCAGGGTAGAAGCGAGCACCACTTCCCTTGGAAGTTGGTTCCAGACCCTAGCCGCCCTGACTGTGAAGTAGTGCTTCCTGATGTCT